CGAGCGGAAATACAGCTGAATACGGGCAGTAATTCTCTTAAAAAGGGGAAGGTAAAAGTAAAAAAATATTTACTTTTTTTAACAAAATGCATTTACATTAATTATAAGCATGTAAGAAAACCCCATGCATATCCCCGATAATTTTCTTGTTAAATGCTTCGTAATAAGATGAGAAAATGTCCATCACATTGCTAATCACGGATGCACCGGTGTTTTGGGTAGCGAGCATGCCAACTATTAAAGTTAGGCGGCTCGTACATCTCGTGAACATATGTCTTTAAAAAGAAACAAAATAGCGTACTCTTATGTGTCACGGGTTGTACGACCCCTAATTAAAGTATGCACATCACGCCAAATCGCTGAAAAAGTGTGTTTCCTACAAGTAGAAGAATTTGATAGGTGACATGTGATGAATTCAAACATACAAGGCATAAAAAGCAATAAATGCAAATGTCTGTGAAATTGTAGGAGACCCCTTATGTATGCAAAATGTCATCTACGTACAAAATTTTATATGAGTACAACGAATGTGAGCACTTACGGTCTACTGAATAAGATCTGTTATACACCCAATGTATTGACCACAAGCAAAATTTCAAATGATTACAGCGAGTGTTAAAACACTCCCACAATCAACTACCATTCAATAGTCAGTAAATACGTCAGTCTATTGCAAGTAAATGTGGAATAACATGCAGCAAAATGTAAACTTCTACGAGCTATCGTAGAAGACTCGTCAAATGTCCAAAATACTCCGGCACATGCACTGTAAATTGTATATACGTAGGTACACAAAATGGGTAGATACAGTCATAAACCCACATGGGCCCCGGCGAGCATGTTATTAGTACACACGTGACGCTTAGGGATGCTGAGCGGGTCAATAAGCGAATTCATATTTGAACCCGATCCTCCTAAGCAGATAAATAAGAGTCAGCAAGGTTCAGCATAATTATAAAATACCTCCAGACACCTGCATGGGCACCGGCGAGCGTGTTGTGGGAACACACGTGACATTTAGGGATGTTGTGCGGATGAATAAATGAACCCATGTTCGAGCATGATCCTTCTATGCAAGTAAAAAGGAATCAACACGGCTCGAACCATTAAATAAATATACAGTCGCGAGGTCGATCGGGATATTTATTCAATATATTCATATTAGGCCTTCAAGGCCTTCAACAAAGAAAATTCACAAACAAAACCACAAAGCATACGAAACCCAATCCCCTATCGGCAAGTTGATAAGGTCAAAAGGGTTCAATCAAATAAGAGAAACAACCCCTATCACCCCGATGATGGCCGCGTTGAATGCAGAACTCAACCGGAGGGGTTAACTCAAACAAATTCAAATGCCCTCAAACTTACAAAAGATTCAAATATTTTCAAGTGACATTAATATCACCCCGATGATGGCTGTGTTGAATGTTTATCTCAATCGGAGGGGTTCACAAACACTTTCAAAGTGTCATCCCAAAATCTTTTAAATCAAAAGATGTTTAAAATTGAAAATCAACCATCAAAACACTTAAAGAAAAATCTATCCACCCTCCACAACAGTTTGCCGAGGTGGACAAATTCGAAATTACTTCAGCTCACATAGAGCTAATGCCTAGTTGAAAATATCACTATGATTCATTCTTAAACAATCTCTTGCCAGTAAAGACGTCATATGTGTCCTCTAACAGGCGGTTTCGCCGCCAAATGGCACCGCGGGATAAACGGTTATGACCCTGGGGCCTCTGAACCGAGTGGTTTTGCCGCCAAATGGCATCACAAGATACTGGTTATGGCCAGAGACAATACGTTCCTTAGTGGTATCAAATTCTTGAAATATGAATCAATAGGATATAATCGATAGAACACAAAACCCTCTATTAGCTAAGATGGATTCAAATGTCCCCTTAGATAAACATTATCATACGCTTTCTCTACAACAAGAACAACACGCTTTTATCATACTATGTGGGTTAGCAACATGAATCCATTTTATCCTATTAAGAGTCAAATTTTCATTTAAATCAAATAAAGAAATGTCATTTCTAATACTTTCTAACCAAGTCTTTTTAAGTCATATCAACCTTTTTTTAACATAACTCAAATCTAATACATCTACTCTCCTAATTGGGTAATCAGAAGGGCCATTATTTTGTGTGACCAAACAATTTAATGCAACTCTCTCTAATTTTATCATAAGATTTTTCTAAATCAAAATATATTATATGTAGATCCTCCTACCCGGTATGAATCCAATTTGATTTTGAGAAAAATTAGTATGACAACATAATTAAAAAAGTGTAAACACATTTAAAAATTTTAAATTTGAAGGCTAAATAAACCAATCCAACTCGTTTATTTATGTTTATGAATAAGCATGTTTATTGTCCAATAAATAACTTGTTGAATGCTTGATATGATGATAACTAATATAATATTTAATTAAATTTTAATTAAATACAACATATTTATTTACTTATTTAAAAATAATATATTAAAATTTAATATCAATAATATTAAAGGATTAACTATTAATCACACATCTGTTATACAAATGTGTTTACCATAATATATAAAAATATCAAAATCGTATTATGAAATTATATATATTATTATTTTAAGAGAATGTTCAAATATAAATTTGATATAAATAAGGTTTCAATTTCATAATTTTTTTAATAATTTTTAATATTTTAATCAACTAAATTAGATGTCAATCACTATTGCTAAAAAATTAAGGAATTATCAAATTTTATAATAATAAAATAACAGGTCATAATTATAAACTTGTCCTAATAGATAACATAAGCACTCCACTTCCTAACTTTCCTAGTTTCCTGTAAATTGTAACCCCTCACTTCTTTCTTTCACCCACCAACAACCTAAAAACCTAAACTCTCAAACCTCAACAATAAAGATGCATGAAAATCACGGTATGAGCATTGTTAGGTAAGGCAACTGACCAAATCAATGGTGCGTAATGGAGTTTCTAAAGTAAGAAGCAATAAAAAATGAGTGACAGCCTTACTTTCAAGATTTTGTAGCACAAATGTAAACTTGGATCACCCAAAAAGTTGCTTGGCATGATTTAACCTGAATCTTGTCTAAGTCTCAATTGAATCTTAACAATTCTTAGAAATCGATGATTCAAGTACAAAACATTTTTGTTATGTGATTGCAAGAAAGCTTTGATCATGACTTAATCTATTATTTAATTTGTGTCAAGTAGTTAAATGATAATTCTAAATTTATTGAATTATTTGTTCATTTATATTTGTAAACATATTTTTCAATATAGGAACTCATACACAACTCTCCTTGGCCTATTGGTTGAGAGCTTAGGCTTCCAACTAAGAGGTTCAAGGTTCGAGTCTACGTGTATGCGTTGTGTGTGTGAGTTTGCCTTAAATGGCCTAAATGTCCCAAAAAAAAATATAGGAAGTCATTTTTTGAATTTTTTTTCTTATTTCTTAGTGCTTGAAAGTACTCAATCGATTTACTTAAGCAAATAAAGTACAAGCCAAGTATGATTATAAAAAAATTTAAACAAGAAAATTATGAATATCTATGTGAAAGCTCGGTTCGATTATAACGCTACATATAAAATCCTTCATCGAGAGTGTTCTCAATTACCATACATTGAGATGTAATTAACTAAGGAGCCTTATAACCATAAGAAATCTCAATCCACAAAATCTAGTATAAACCTTAGATAAAAATATTGTCTAGGTAAATCTCTATAAAAGTGAAAGTCTACCTTTGAAAACTCCATGTTGTTTCTTGTCTAATCACTTCACTTCAAAAAAGTTCAAAGGAATGGATAACCTCTCAAGATCATAAGCTCTTTCAAAGCCAACATGCACCAAACTAACAAATCTTGACCAAAGGAATTCTATTTTCATCAACATTCTCATATCTCAAAACCGAAGGATTTGAGGGGCTCAAACAAACAACAGTGACAATTTTAGAGCAGTGCTTTCCCAGGTTCCTGTCAATAATATTTAAAAAACTAAAAAATATTTCAAGAAAGGGGCCCTATCCAAACTTTTTTAAAATATGATAGCAAAATTTAAGTGCTCGGAACCTGGTAAATAGTTGAAGATAAAGAATGAACCTAAAATCCAAACTTCTCATGAAGAAGTTCTGATGCTTCGTAAAATAATTAATCAAAAAAAATATTAACAATGTAAATCTTAAGCCAGCATAAAACAGGAGGAAGATGCACTAAGCCTACAATTGCATGGATGCGTATTAATTACAATATAATTGAATTTACTGTTTATTCATTAACAATTAATTATTATTCAGAAGCAACTGTTTCCAGGGTTTTTCATGGCAATAAAAAAAGGCAGAAAGGCTTTCGACAGGAAAATTTGAAGCATAACCGAGAGTAGACTAAAAATAAGTATACAATTAAAACAAAATAAGATTAGTAAGGTTATTAGTAAATTAACAAAATCAATGATAGCAAGAAGTTAAAAGGAAAAGATGCCTAAAAAGTTTATGTTTAATAATCTGAGTTTCCAGGATTTTAAAAGCTCTTTCAGAAATCAAGGCATTCCTCATACATGCATGGAACATCAAGCAATTCATAGCCAATTATAAATCACAAACCATAAGGAAGATTCGTATGTCATTAGCTTGTCACCAACAATTAGGGATTTTCTCTAATGATTCTCATGCATGCATAGGATTTCAGTCACTTTTTAGCCAGTCATAAAACATAAGAAAGGTTCATATGTAATTATCTTTGCCTCAGGAAATAGGTATTTGGTCTAATGAACTTCAGCTAAAATATTTTTAAAATGTGATGCAAATAAAATTGTCGCTAATACTGAAGTTTAGTTTCTTTAATTTCAATGTCCCAAATGAAAAAAACATAAGGATGTAGATTATCGGCCAATGAGAAAATACATAGAAGTTTAATTAATTTTTATCAGATATGAAAACAACAAAACGCATCAAAAGTTTTTTTTTTATTTGCATGACATCAAAAGAGTTTTTTTAGCATGGTACCGATAATCTAGCAACTTTGGCCAGCTTCTGCTTAACTTCTTGAGGCAGTCTTCTTTTAGTACCTTGGACTGTAGGATCAACTTCTTGAACTGCAGGGTTTGGCGGTCTAGCTGTAGAATGAATTTCTTGTTAATTCTAAGGTGATTTCATTTTTGAAAAAAACATTAATGCATCCATCAAAACGAAGTAGTCAATATTGTTGTTGATCTAGAACATACATAGTGCAACTATCTTTTTCAGCTCTTGAATGGCCCGTTCAAGTGTTGTGACTTTAGGTCTTACTGTAACCTCGCTGACTCGGTTAGACAAGGTTTGCTTCAATAAATTAAAATATCAGTTAATGAAGGCATTAAGATGAAACACTATAAGTAAAAAGAAGACTTTCCATATAGAAGGGTATAAACAACCAATCAACTACTTATGTGTTGCTGAAAGTATGAATTTATCACAGATCAATAAATCAACATCAATAGTTTACCCAATAAATCTTGTTTCTGAAGTGGAGAAAATCCTACAATGAACTGCAGACTACAAGTCAAGTGCCACGTTTCAATTGTTGCATTCTGGAAAAAAATTCATGCCTGAAAATCGGCTTCATAATATGAAAAGCAGCCTTTTTCCTTGATACTATTATCAGTAATTTGTCAGTTAGGTTTACAAAGGCCAACTTGCATCTACTACTACCATAAAAATTAGCAATTAACATGCACACAATTTTTACGTGAATAGGACACCATGATGATAATTATTAGTGCTAATGATTGTCCCGAAAAATTCACTATTAGTATAATTTTTTTTGTCTCTCATTCTAGTGCATTCTTTGATGGAATGCAACGTAACATCAAGTTCGAAATCCCACCTACTTCAAGTATGATAATTTAATTCAGAACCTTACAGATATATTCTCTCACTCGGTAAAATAGAGACTCATTGCGAAACCAACCACACTGTCGACTTCCACGATAAGTACACCAACTAACATTAAGGGGGATCCTGCACAAAATTACAAGAGGAAAAGATGAACTTTTTCTGGGATAACTAAAACAAAACTGATGCTGGCACCAATCAAACACTTACGAAGAAAGCATGCACTCGTATTTGACGAGACACAAACTGTCAAGTTGAAGTCCTACAATTTTCTCCACTACTACAACAACAAAAACAACAACATCAAGCATTTATTTCACTATGCAGAGTCGGCAACATGAATCTTTTTTCTCCATTGTGCCCTATTAAAAGTTAAATTCTCATTTAAAAGTAATAAAGAAAGGTCATTTCTAATATTTTATAACCATGTCTTTTTAGGTCTACCTCTACCCTTCCTAACAAAAGTCAAATCTAATACATCTACTTTCATAACCAGGTAATCGGAAGGCTACCGTTTTATGTGGCCAAACCATCTAATGCGACTCTCCCAAATCTTATCTCCACTGGAGCTACTCCAACCTTTTTACGTATATACTCATTTCGTATCATGTCTCTAAGAGTAAAGCCACTCATCCACTTGAGCATCCTCATCTTTGAAACACTTAACTTAATATTATGCTTCTTTTTTAATGGCCAACATTTTGCACCACAAAGCATTGCAGGTCTAACCACATCTTATAGAATTTTTCTTTAAGTTTGAGGGAGAATTTTCTATCACACAATAAGCTCGATGCATTCCTCCACTTCAACCATCCAACTGGAATTCTACAAATAGTATCCCCATCTATTTCACGATCACTCTGAACAATAGACCCAAGATATCTAAAATGTGTACTCTTATTAATGACTTGATCACTCAAAGTCACAACCTCCCACTAGAACTATTATTACTGAAATTACAATCCTTATATTCAATTTTAGATCTACTCAAACAAAAGGCTTTAGACTCTAAGGTTGACCTAGAAAATTCAAGTTTACCTTCAACTCCCTCTCTAGTCTTATCAACAAGAAGAATACCATCAGCAAAAAGCATACACCAGGGTACAACCTCTTGCAAATGTCTAGTGAGAACATCCATGATAAAAGCAAAAAAATATGGTCTTAGGGCATACCCTTGATGTAATCCAACTGAAATAGGAAAATAGTTTGTCAAACCACCTTTTTTTTTTACACAAGTAACAACTCCTACATACATATCGTTAATGACTTGAATATAACCATTATTAACCCCTTTCTTTTCTAGAACTCTCCATAGCACTTCTCTTGGAACTTTATCATATGTTTTCTCTAAATCAATAAATATCCTATGATGCACCAACATGTCACTTAAAGAGGGTATGCAGTGTCGGACACATGTCGGACACGAACACGCGTCGGACACGGCATGGACACGTGTCCGCACGGCATTGGAGTGTCGCAATTTAAAAAATAAAAATTAAAATCGGACAAGCGTGTCAGACACGTGTGTCCGGCAATTAAATAAGGCATTGCTAGGTACATGCTCGGTACCGCTCAGTACATCCTCGGTACCCCTCAGTACATGCTCGGTACTGCTCAATATATGCTCGGTACCGCATGGTACTTGCTCGGTACTGTTAGATACATGCTCGATACTGTTAGGTACATGCTCGGTACCACTCAGTACCGCTACGTACATGCTCGGTACTGCTAGGTACATGCTCGGTACTACTCGGTATCTTCCCATACAAACAACTTACGAACTTTAAAACAAGCAGAACTTCAAAATTACTCTTACAATAAAATTTTATTCCGGGGGCGTTGCCCCTTGACCCCGCGACCTGACCGGGCAGATCGAACCCCGCCAAGGGGCAGGGCCCCCTTGGACCCCCGGCAGACCAATATATTGTTGTATTCATGTTGTCTTATTATTGGGATATTTTGATTTCACTTCATATCAATTTAATTTGATGTATTCATATGTATGATTGGTTTGTTAGCAAAATGAGCTTTGCTGCTGGCGGGGGTGGATTAGGTGAAGGTTCAAAAGAGCCATTTGTCCAAGCAGTGTCTGTGTCCTATATTTTTAAATTTATTATATATTATATTAAAAAATTATTATGTCGTGTCCACGCCGCACCCGTGTCCTATATTTTTAAAAATTGTCGTGTCTCGATTCCGTGTCGTGTCGTGTTCGTGTCGCCGTGTCCGTGTCGGTGCATCATAGTAAATATCATATGTAGATCCTCCTTATTCTCTCTATACTTCTCCATCAAACCTCTCAATAAATGTATAGTTTCCATAATAGACCTACTCGGCATGAATCCAATTTAATTTTGAGAAATGTTAGTATTACACCGCAACCTATGCTCCATTAGTCTCTCCCATAGTTTTAAAGTATAACACATTAATTTAATTCATCGATAATTCGCACAATCTTGAACATCACCTCTATTCTTAAAAATAAGAATCAACACTCTCATTCTCCAATCACCTAGCATCTTTTTAGTCTTCAAAATAATATTAAAAAGTTTAGTAAGCCATGAAATTCCTTCCTCTTCTAAGCATTTCCACACATTTATTGGGATATCATCATGTCCAACAGTGTGGGGAACAAAAATTTGCACCCTGGCCTCCCCGCGCTTCGCTTTTTGCTTTTGGGGGAGTTTTAACGAATAAATTTCAAGGGTAAATTTTCAGAAGGCAAACTGGCTTTGTAGATAAAACACTACCAAGAGATTTTGTCCTCATTTTGCGAGGACTTTATGACCTAAGTTCTAATTTCCTATAGGTGCAAGCCCCTATAATTAATTACCCCTCTAGATAACAAGAGAGAACTATCGATTAATGCTAGTAGTCGATAATATGTCATAGCCGTAGATACGCGGTATCCGGCATATAATAGCAACATTGGATTGAGAAAGAGGAAATTTAATATTTAAAATTTAAATTCTCACCATTTGTACTTAAAGCGGATGGTGGGGTGATCATGATAAGCCCGATCAAGATCTCATGGTTATGTTGTCCCAGGCCATCATGGTCCCTGGTCTACTTAGCCAGAGGAGGTAGTTGACTCAATCTGATAAAATGATACTTTTCAACATCCATATGTTAAGTCATCCAAGGGTACCTTATAGACCTAGGGTGGACGAGGACAAATTTGAATCCACCTTAGTTAACAAGTCTTTTTGCCCTATCGAGCATATACTATTGATTATATCTAAAGGATTTAATATCGTTGGGGAGCATACATGCTCTGACCATGATTGTAATATAAGTGTTATTTTTTGACTAACCACCCGGTTCAAAGGGGTCCTGATCATAACCGTTTACTTGTGGTGCTATTTAGCGGCGAAATCCACAGAGTGGTGCTATTTAGTGATAAAAATATTTGTCAGAGGACACGTGTCACGTCCGTACTAACAAGAGAAAGATTGAGAATGAATCCTAATAATATTCTCGACTAGACATTAGCTCTTTATGAGCTGAAGTTATATTTGAATTTATCAATCTTGACAAACTGTCGCGGATAGTTGATAGATTTTTTTAAGTATTTGATGATTTAGTATTAATTTTAAATATTTTTAATTTTTGGTATTACTGGATTTCCGGATGTTTATGGGCGTTTAAGGACATTTTTAATATTTTTGGTCCCCATCGGTTGAAATATTATATCAACCCAGCCATCTTCAGGGTGACTTTGAGATCATTTGAAAATATTGTATTTTGTGGAGGTTTGCGAGCATTTGAGAAGATATAATTCCCTCCGGTCGAGATAAGCATTCAACACGGCCATCATCGGGGTGACTTTGAGTTCATTTGAAAATATTTGTATTTTGTGAAAGTTTGAAAGCATTTGAAAAGATGTGATCTCCTTAGGCCGAGATAAATATTCAACACGGTTATCCTCGGGGTTACTGAATATTAATCGAATCCAAATTTATTTCTTAACCCGCACGGCATTCATAGACATCACGTGTGTACCTACAACACACTCACCAAGGCATACGCTGGTATATGTCACTGGATACACTTCTTGTAATTCATTCCTGTGTGTGCATGATATGATTTCTGAAATGCAATCATAGTATCGAATGACACACTAGAGTGAAATACTCTGCTGATTACAAAAATGTACAGGAGGATAGTTTTTTGAAATGCAATTGCAGTGTCAAATGACACACTGGAATGAAACCCTATGCCTATTACAAATATGTGCAGGAGGGCGTTTCTTTTTTTATATGCAGATCTAGTGCCAATTGTCAAACGACATACTAGAGTAATACCCTCTGCATATCACAAATACATGCAGGAGGTTATTTTGAAATGTAATAGCGATGTAGGAATGATATGCTAGAATGAAATCCTCGGCATCCTATAGATGCACGCCAAAGGTCTTTCTTTTTAAATGACATAGCAATGTCAAAGCACCACTCTAGAATGAAATCCTCGGCATCCTACAGATGCATGCGGAAAGGCCCTTGGCCATGCACACACTACACATGCATGTAAATGCAGTGTTGGATGATATGCTTATATAACATATCATGCATATTGCAATGTATGTATAGGAGCCTTTTAAGATATTTGCATGCAATACAAATGGGTGTTCGACTACATGAGCGACTATTGATGCTGAAAGTGTGGGGCTTTATTTCGTGCTTTATTGATGCCTTCTATCTGCTTGTGCGAATGTTGCGAAATCGATGGCATAATGTCGCACTTCAGCGGCTCATGATTTTTAATATTGATTACCTATTTTAGCTTACAGGTGAATCGTAGTGTTGTCACCACTCGGCATAGCCATTTTGATTTGATGTAGGCTCCATTTTCTAACGCTTCAGGAGATAAGATCTACGAATCAACTGACCCTTGTTTAGATTGGGTAAACACATCTAAACAACATGAGGTCGTTTTGTGATAAATAATGTATCAAACACTGATGAGACAAAAGACTCGGTTAGTACATCATTGTATTGCTCTATCCCCGAATCTTCATGAGGCTATGACATTGAATCAAGAGGCTTAATCTTCGGGTCTTTGCTCGAATGACGTGGTATATTCAGGAGCCTTGGGATTTCTGAAGAAATGATTGAATGAGATATTTTCCCTCCTTTTTTTCTTCCAGTGCTCATTCATTGACTCTACAGAATCATTCATAAAATCATTTAATTTTTTTGTGTCACAGTATCGCAATTAGGGTTTTCCGTAGCAGCAAGTCAATGAGCTTCTTGTAGCAGTTTGTAGATGTTCGCAGTTGTTAAAAGTCTTCAATGTCTCGATAGAGATGATAGGATTAAACATCTTTTTAACTGATCATTCTTTGACTCTACAAAATCATTCATGCAATCATTTGATTTTGCGTCGCATTTGGAATCTTCCTTTGACGATGTATCAACAAACTTCCTCCGTATATCGACTTGTTTTTTATACCCAATGTACTCGCAACATCTCAATCATCATTACTGTAGGTGTTGTATGTATTTATGTCCACAGGGGATTCGTCGTACTTAGGATATACCCACTATTATTATCCACACATAGGTTATATCAATTGTTTTTGCTTGCATCCAAATTAGTGCCTTCATTTGATTTGATGTTGGATGCTAACTAAATTACATTTATCACCAACTTTTACATGCATGTTGGCCTTATATTCATAGGAGAATATCACGTACACATGCAACCAATTGACCTTGATTGATAGGAGATTATTACATCCACAGTTCATCAACAATCACCGCTCACAAGCGGACTAGTGCATTTGCTTGTCAGCTTTCTCCTGCAATTGCATGTGAATGAGCCACCATATGCTCTTTATAATCAGGAAACAATGATTACAATGTCTTTGCTTCAGGCTCTTCGACCAACTTTTGGCTGAAAATTCTGAGCATGATTGCTCATTGCTGCTTGCATGGTTAAATGTACTTATAGGGTACAACGGTTGTCGACTGCATGGACACTCAAGTGTTTATTGCATGTTATATGTACTTGCATCATATCCACCCTCACTATTAATAGGTGGCTTGGTGTACTTGTTTACAGTGACAGGTTGTATGCAAGCGATTGATGTCAACTGCAAAGCACGGCTATAATCAGTGCATTTTGTCTTGATGTGATTTGTTGTATGCATAATAGGTTGTCTTTCATTAATTGTCAGTGTTGCCATTTCAATTTACAGGCATTGTTTCTTGTGTTGCGGATTTCATTAATACATGTGAGAGACATCCATGCATTCTGCAACTAGTTGTTGTTGCTTGCAAGTATTGTGCATTCAATTGCATGGGTAATGTTGTAGGAGTTCATTGCATTTACCGGCATCATTTTCTACATGTCATATGTTTGCAGGTGTTTATACTTGTTCAGATGCTACAGATTGATTACTATTCATTGTATGCATGCATCGAGGTCTTCTTTATCATGAGTCCTCTGCTTATGGTTTGGTTTTTACTAAAATAATCAAAATTATTATTTGTCATTTGTATTTTTATTATTATTATGCATTTCCAATTTTGCACTTTAGAATTTAGGGGTTTCTTCCCTGCATTCAATTCAAATCTCCTAGGTTCTGTTGAAGTTAGGTCACCTGTATTGCTATTATTAAAGTTCTGTGCACTTCAGTCAGAATTTCGATAGCATCCCGACATATCCCCCGTTTTGGGAAAATTTGTGGAACTGGACATTCCCACAACGCTAAGAAAACGTGTATAGTAGTTTTTTTTTCCCACAAGATTTATGGAAAGAATAGGTTCCAAATCACAATTGATGGCTGCACATGCCCTTCCCACATGCCATCACAATTGATGGCTGCACATGCCCTTCCCACATGCCATCAATGCCTCAAAAATAGGAATAATCCCAAAACAAAATGAGAGAGCTAACAAGCTTTTAGGAGAGCTATAATTGACTGCATTAACCTCAGTAAATATACCCTAAAAAATGTAAAGAATTGAAAGAAACAAAAGTTATATACTATGTGGTACATTGTTCTAGTCAAGATTATACTTTTTTCTACCTACTCAAGGCCAGCATCTATGCCACTTAGAGGTTCTAAGCAGACACTATGAAGATCCCAAAAACACAATTTCTCTCACAAAAATAATGTCTATGGTTGGATAAGACATTAGATATTTATCTAAATTAGTGGGTCATTGGATGATCCCACATGAGCACCAAGATGTTGGAATTTCAGTGAAAAAAGTAAAAGCTTGGGCTAGAGAAGCATCAGGCCCAATGAGTACATTGGCCCCCATCCATAGAGCCTACATATTCATAAATTTTTAGTCAAAGTTGATGTAAACCATCCTACATATTTTGGACTCTGGTATTTCATTTGTAAGTCAACAGGATAAATCCTAAGGTATCAAGTAGCAGAAAATTTCAAAATATGTAATATTTATGGTAGTTGATTTTATCTGCAGAAATCGTCACAAAGGATCATGAATTCTCATGTGCGTTCTTCCTGTAATCTACTGGTCTATTTTTTGTTAGAACTCTAGCAGGTAGATTTATTTAAGCGGAAGAAAATGAAAAACCTGCTGGAAATAAGGCAAAAAACACTTTAATTATAGCTACCAGCTATTTATAAAACAAAAAATTTGACCTCAAAAGTAGTCATACAGTTCTCAATATCCACATCAAGTTCAAAGTCTATCAGAACAGTACCAATTTATTATTTAACAAACGCCATGATAAGATTAAAATAAGAATTGCAGATTAATACTAGTATATTTTAATTACATCCAACGAAATTAAAGAAAATGGAAATAATGCACTTGCGAGAAAGCAAGAATTTATATAGAAAGAAACCTTTTTAAAGGGCTTCCCAAAAAGTTTAGTAATAACAGAATGAAAGAGGTCACCAATTCAATGAACAACTGTAAAATAAGAGATACCGAGGGGATCAAACAAAACAAAAACATCATATTATGGTTAAATTAATGAAACTATATAAAAAAAATGAAAAACAAAGAGATCCTATTACCGCGTTCTTAGGCTTCCCAACATTACTCACAATCGTCTGTGCAGGGTAGGAAGTAATAGATGAACTAATCTGCGGATATTCACAAGTTCCGTATCTGTCCTTGCACCGAATTTTGGGTAACTGCTCTAGTTCAGTTTTAAAATTAAACAATTTCTTTGGTTGAGGTTCAACTTGCGAAACAACAGCTTTCTCTTGAGATGTCTGATATATGGCATCTAATGATTCACTTGTGCAGCTTGATTTATAAAGTCCTTTAGAAGAGAGAGATTTGTTCTTGCCAACATCCTTCGGTTCAAGCTTGACTGATGAAACGTCCTTATCTGGTATTCTGGTAGATGGGGGAACATCTAAATCAATGGCAAAGTCAGCAGACTGTTTCTTATATATTACTGGGGAGGCATTTGGTTTAATTTTCAGATGCTTTTCTTCTTGATGATGTTCACCAAAGGAAGTCACAACCTTTCCGGGATTTAAGCTCTTTGCTACCAAAGGAACACTCCTTGCAGCAGCTTTCATCTTCGTATTACCCCTCTTTGCATGCTCATGATCAATTTCATTCGGAATTTCAGCTGAATCTTTTCTCCTCCTTTTCTTTGTCTCGAATTTTGGTGATGGATTTGATTCACTAGTTTAGCAAAACATATAAACGAAGCATAAGAATGCATGAACCCTTTTAAAAGTTCAAAAGTGAAGTAATGTTAACTGCTATTCTAATGCAGAATGAAGCATTACTTAAAAGTGATTTAAGGAACTTTTTCAATCTCAACTTTTATAAAAAGGATCCAGAGGATTACAAAATATGGATTCAAGGAAAACCACACACAAAGTAATTAGGGACAAACGAAAACCTGAATGTTTGGCCAAGTTATGATGTAAAAAATGACTGGTAAACAAATAGATCATAAACGTAAATAAGAAAACAAAAAATGAAATAAGAATCATTCAGATATTAAGAAAAATGAGGATAAATTAGCAGCAAGTATATATGGCATTTATAATTTTCTACACAGCTCATCTGAGTATGGAGAAAAATGATTCATGTCTCTTAGAAGGAGATAAGGCCTCTTGTTTTTGTATTGTTGTTGTAGTTGTAGAACTTCGAGTATACACACCCTGGCCATTGTTTAAAATTGCGCAATATGAGGCTCTCCTTAAGGCTTGCCTCAACATAATTCTAGTGAAAAACCTCTCAAGACTTAACGCTTAAGACTTTTTTAATGAGGCTTACGCCTCATCATGGTTATGGCCCGCCTTAAGGTGTGCCTCACCTCGCTTGCATGAGGCGTACACCTCACTCTATTTATGTTTTTTTTTTTTTTTTAATTCAAAACTTACAAAAATCCTATATAAAGCCTCAAAAAAATCATGTCTACTTGCATGCCAAGCCGCAGAAACTTTCTCGCCCTCTAGCCCTCTCCATTCACCATAATCACTAGCATTGTAGTCGCAACAGAGGATCACCTAAAAGCCACGGGCCACCACCATCTCTTCTAAAAATTTTGGAGTATTACTCTTATCTTTATGTTGAAAAAAAACATTTATGAAAGATGAAGATGATTGAAATAAATTAAGAAGAAGCACATTGAGAGGTATCCATCCTATAGGATGAGACAAAGGAGAGAACAATTTGTTATGACAACGACTCAAATAAAAATTACTTAATAATGATAGTAAAAATGATTTTTCTGAGTTGTTGCCAATTATTTTCTTTTTTATTATGAATTAAATGTTGATGTGTAGGGAACTGAGAAAAAAATTAGAGTTGAACTTGATTTTATATGATAATTTTATGCAATTCATATATTTTATATTGTTTTGCTCTTGTAATATTTGGATTTCAATTTTATTTCACACATTTTATCATTTTACCACTTTACTTCTTATGCAATTTTTTGTTTCATATATATGTAAATTTGTTACTTCGTAGTTTAATAGAAGTTAATATGTCATCCTTTAATATACTATTTGGGTATTATATAAAATATAACTTTTAATTTTTATTTTTACTTTACACAATTTATAGATTTTGAGGCTTAGGCCTCAAAACACATTAAGGCTTACGCCTCTCCTCGCAAATGAAAAATGTTACAATACTCAATTGTTCAATTTTACACATGGATCATAACAGTACTTCTTTTATGTAAATGGATCATTAGTATATCTCAAGTTTAATAGCCATGGAAACTCTTCCCTCATAACTATCAATTCAAGTTAATAGCCATGGTATACATAAACGCAGTTCAAAATGGAAGATCTATGAAATACCGTGAGCAGAAAAAAAATTGGCATAGTGTATATAGAAAATAAGAAAACCAGGACCTCTAAAAAAATTAATTTATACACTTACAATATACCCAATAATTTTTTCCGATAAAGGATTCATAGCTATTATTTTAGAAATAGTTTTGGTCATCATCTGAAGAATGAAATTGCCAATAGTCACAGATATATAACTATAAAATCTAACTATTCCAATAGTTAATACTGACAGGTGTATGTGCTGCATTTTATTTCATTTTAAATACCCCACTTCTGAGTAGCCAATTTCAAATTCATAGCTGTGAAATTCATTCCATCCCACAATACTAACCACAAGCAATTAACTACCACAAATCCGTTTAATGATCAAAGACAAGATGGATAATATTTCATGTCGATTGAAAAGAAACACATTGACTGTGAAGTCAATGTATATGAGAAGAAGGCATTTGGTCCTTCAAAATAAGAATTTAATACACATACTATGGTGAGTTGTCAAAACATAAATGATAGGTTATTTTTGGGCTACGAAAATTCGGCCCCGGCCTCGCCGCCGCTTTTCTATTTATTCGGCGAGGGGAGTTTTAAGGGAATTAGTTCCGGGGTAAATTTTGGAAGGCAGATGGGTTTGTAGATAAGACACTACCCAGAGATTTCGCCCTCATTTTGTGAGGACTTTATGATCTGAGTTCTGGTTTCCTATAGGCGCAAGCCCCTATAGTTAATTACCCCTCCCAATAATGAGAGAGAACTTTCGATTAAGGCTAGTCGTCAATCAGATACGTAGAAATACGTGTTATCTGGCATATAGTAGCAGCACTGGGTTTGAATTTTTGAGAACTGGATTTGGATTCGGGAATTTGAAAATTTTGATATTTAAAATGAAAATTGCACCATCTTGCACTTAAAGCGGATGGCGGGGGAATGGATGATGGACCAGATCAAGATCTCATGGTTCCGTCGTCCCAGGCCATCGTGGTCCCTGGTCTACTTAGTCAGAGGAGGTAGTCGACCCAACCTGACAGAAGGATCCTTGTCTGCAACCATGGGTTGTTTCGTCCAAGGGGACCTTGTAGACCTGGGTTGGATATTTGTCTAAGGGGACAAATTTGAATCCACCTTAGCTAACAGAGGGCTTTGTGCCCTATCGATCATATCCTATTGATTCATATCTCAAGGATTTGATGCCAATAAGTAACGTAACGGCGATGGCCATAACCGGTATTTCGTGGTGCCATTTGGCGGCAAAACCACTCGGTTCAGAGCGCCCCGAGTCATAACCGTTTATCCTGCGGTGCCATTTGGCGGCAGATCGCGGGTCAGAGGACACGTACCACGTCCTTATCGGCAGGAGACTGTTTTGAGAATGGATCCTAGTGATATTTTCGACTAGGCATTTGGTTCTTTGTGAGCTAAAGTAGTATTTGAATTTTGTCCACCTCGACAAACTATTGCGAATGGTGGATGGATTTTGCTTTAAGTGTTGATGGATAGATTTCAGATTTTAAATATTTTTGGAATTTTGGAATTTTTGTGGAATTTTTGGATTTTTGGATTTTTATGGGTATTTTGGGTGGAGCTTTGGAATAATTGAAATGGAATGTGGATATTTGAGAGACATTCAAAAATATTTGGAAACCCCTCCGGTTGAGATCTGCATTTAACACGGCCATCATCGGGGTGTTTGGGGTCATTTCCATTTGTTGATTGAACCCTGTCGACCTTATCAAATCGTTGATAGGGGATCAGGTTTCGTAGGCTTTGTGCCTTTGTAAGTGAATTCTCTTGATTTTAGGCTTTGAAGGCCTAATATGAATGTGTTAAAATTCTGGTCCCCACAACCGTGTATTTATTTGAAGGTTCGAACCCTGTCGACTCCTATTGATCCGTATAGAAGGATCGGGTTCGAACTAGAATTCACTTAATAACCCGCGTAGTATCCCTTGACGTCACGTGTGTACCAATAACACGCTCGTCATGGCCTATGCGGGTGTTTGGGGGCATTTTATAATTATACCCTGTCTACTCCTTTTTATCTGCTTAGGAGGATCGGATTCAAATTTAATAACCCGCGCAGCATCCCTAGACGTCACGTATGTATCAATAACACGTTCGTCGGGACCCATGCGGATTTTGTATGTTTTTTTTCCCCTTTTAAGTGTACCTATATGTATACAAGCTATGGTGCACGTGCAGGGGTACTTTGAAAGTATTAATAGACGCCTTCTGTCCGCTTGTATAGAAGTTGCGGATCCGGTGGTGAGACATAGGAGCTTCTAAATAGAGTTACTCGCTGCTTTGTACAGGTGGACAGTCGTGCACTACTTGTTGCTTTCTGCAGGTAGATCGTAGTGCACTAACGAGTCTTGCATGAGTTTCAAACTTATATGTTTAATCACTTCTCATTTTAGAGATTTTAGCATTAGACATTAGATTATGCTCTCTATAATTACAAGTCAAGCTCATGTTCTCCTTGATGTTGTATAGTTCAAGTTCAGTGTTAACTATAGTCCAACTCAAATCTTTGTTTGAGTTTAAATGTCCAAGTCATGTCTTTGTTCATTTCAAGATCTAGTTTTGATTTGAGTTCCTTATAGTTCAAGGTTGATTCAAGTCTTTGCTAACGTCATTTGATTTCCAAATCAAGTATGAGTTCAAGTCCGAATGCACAAGTTCAAGTCCAAAAAGTCCCCTGAGTCCTTGTAAGTTCAAGATTGAGTCTTTGTTCCATTCTTGCTTGAGTTCAAGTCCAAGTTTTGTTCTCTTTTGAGTTCGAGATCATTCTCTTGTTTGTTTGCATTTGAAGTTATTTATTGATTGTTTAAGTTTGAATTAAGTCTATTTGATGCTCCAATCAATGTCCAAGTAAAGCTCCATATTGTTCCAAGTACGAATTGCATTTACCCGAAATTTCCGCAATCTTCCGACGTCTCCCCCGTTTAGGGGAAAACTACGGAAAACTGGGCCTCCCACCACGTAGAGAAAAGCGTGCATGGTAGGTGCCCTCGGACGAGGACACCGCGGCCGTAATAATTTGTTTTTCCCACCACGCCAGAGAAAGGCGTGCATGGGTTGCGGGCACCAGTTTAAAATAAGCAATTTTTATATTTGACCCCACCTCGTCGTAGGCGTCACACTGGGTTCCCTTTCCACCACGCTAGAGAAAAGCGTGCATTAGTTGGTTTTTCGGTCCAACACCAACGCCGAAAATGGGGTTTTGATTACCCGTCCCGTTGCAAGCTCCGCAACGAATTCCCTCCTACCAAGCTAGAGAAAAACGTGCATATGTGGTTGTTCGCCGCGTTGCAAGCACCGGGAATGGGTTTTTAAAGTTCTAGGGTTTAGGGAGATTATATCTTCACAAGTATCGTCGAGGTTAGCACACGGATAGAGGCAAGAGAGGTAATTATAATTAATTATGTTTAATAATAATTATAATTATATTTAAAATATAATTAATTACATTCAATCTTAAATTAATCATAGATTAATTAAACACATGTAATACATGATTAAGCAGGATTTATACAGGATTAAATTCCATGGCAGAGCAAATCCTCTGTTTCCCCCTTTTAGCCTCAAATCCAAAAGGATTTACGGGACTTGGCCGAAGTAGTGCCTGAAAGTGAGAGAGTTACCTTAAGAGGGGGCAAGTGAGCTGTTGCTCTTGCTTCTGATCCAAATGTCTAACTTCCGATCCAAATGAAAGGGAAAGTCGGAGATGGAGCAAAGCTGAGCGACAAGGAGGAAGGTCAGTTTCTCCTCTCTCTCTCTCTCTCTCTCTCTCTGTGTGCTTGCGGTCGGCACAGGCAGTCGGCAAGAGGAGCACGGTCGGCGCTGAGAGAGATCGGGAGGTCGGGATGGCTGAGGGATTTCGCGTGGAGAGAGCTTCGGTAGTGGAGAAGGTAGCAAATGGAGGAAGTCGGGGAGAGCAGCGGGTATTTAACGACGCGAACAGAGCGACTCGAGCAGGGTTTGAGCGAGATTCGCGGAGAAGCGACGCAACGGCGCCGAGCTACAGGATTTCAGCGGGATTCCTTGCTGGATTTCGGGAGGGATTATGGAGGATTTCGTGGATTCAGCGGAGGCAAGGTTTGTACGCTAGATTTCTTCCTCCTTTCCTGTTTTGTTCTTTATACAGAGGTTAACATTATTAAATGAAAATCTTCCAAAGAAATAGTATTGCAGAAAATGTTATGCCTAATATTAATGCAATAAAACTGTATTAAGGTAGCTATTAAGTGCAATGACTATGATAAAAGGATAAATGCACTAATAAAAAGAAAATAAAAATAAAAAAATAAAAAAACATACTTCCATTCTAGCTTTCCCCTATTAACAAAATATCCATTGTGCTTGGTGGACAATTTGTCAACTTTGAAATATTCATCCTGTAAAATTAAACACAAGAAGAAGTTATTCACGCAACATCATTAGCCCTTCATAAAATAATTGACAGGCGAATCTTTTTAATAAAGTGATGTTTATAAATCATGTATATGCCATACTAATCAATATTTCTCAACCATTGCAGATAAGTAGAAATATAAAAAAATTACTTTTTGAATTGTATTGCTCTCCTTCTGCACTTAGATTGGAGGTATTTCTAAGCTCTTCAAAATAAAGAAAGAAATGCTCTTTAAAATAAATAAATAATCCAAAACGGGATCCAATGGCTAGGTGAAAAGAGAGAAGAAAATGGATTGCAATCCAAGGCTTAAGAGTGAGAAGATCCAATAGCTAAGCCCCTTAAGTTATTTGCTTAGTAGATCATACTATGATTGGCTACATAATGAAACCAACAATTTCTTTACCTAAGGAGGAGACTTGGAGTTGGCAGATGAAAGGAGGATGAGGAGTGGGTCCCACAATACGGCCTTCAATACACCCCCTCAAACTGGTTGGCATAAATCTAGCATTCCAAATTTGCTTACAAAACTCTTGAACGTAAGGTTCTAGAGTCCTTTGCTGAATATATCGGTAAATTGATTTCTTATTGGTATATATAAAGTGAAATCAACTCACTCTCTAGTTTCTCTTTCATGAAATGTTAATCTACCACTACATACTTGGTAGAATCAGTTGTACTAGGTTATAAGTAATGTTGATGACAGAATTATTAACATAGTATATCATCATTGGCTCTTCCTACTTGATTTTTAAATCTTCCAAGATGATTTTTACATATTCTTTTGTCCATCACCCTAAATTCAGATTCAGTACTAGATCTTAAACAACTGATTACCTTTTTCTACTTTATATTATAAGATCTCCTCCTAAGAATGCAAAGTATCCTAAAGTTGATCTTCTATCTACTAGTGATTCTGCATAGACCGCATCAATATACCGTTTCGTTTGTATATTATCTAGCATTTTATAGAGAAATCTTTTTCTAGGACATGATTTAAGATATTTCAGGGCTGTATAAGCAGTTTAATTGTGAGACTTTTTGAGCCTAAGCATGAATTTACTGATGAGACTTATTATAAAAGTAATGTTTGAAGGGATATGAGATAGATATATTAGCTTTCTAACTACTTTTTGATATTGTCCATATTTACTTCCGCTTCTTCATTTACATGCAACTTTGAACTGGTTCAATTGGGGTTTCATAAGCATTGCAAGCAGTCATTTTGTCTCATATAGTAGCTCCATACAATTTTTTGTTAAGAAGAATATTTATTATCCTACTTGAGCTACATCGATTATTTGAATTTTTCATATATATCTCAAAGTCTTCCGCAAATTTTCTTCCAAGGAGCTCATTTTCTTTATTGTCGTCACATATAATAATTCTATTTTCAACAATATAAATTATAATTGAGATATTATCATGAGTGAAGCGTTTATGAAGAAGGCATGATTCCGTCATCTTTGTTAGTATCCAGCTCCAATCACGGCTTTTGTAAATCTACAAAACAATGCTCTCGATGATTATTTAAATCCATATAAAACATTTTTTAACTTGCACACCATATTCTCTGTCAATGGGTTATAAAACCCTAATAGAGGATCCATATAAATTTCTTCAACATCTATATGTTAAAAGGCATTCTTTATGCCATAATGTTGTATAAACTATCAAAGATTAGCTGCTAAAAAAGTCTATATATGAACTATACGCAGGACCAAAGGTTTCTTGATAATCAATTTTATATGATTGAGTATATTCTTTAGCTATTTATCTTTTCTTGTACCATAATCTGCCTTATATTTTAAAAAACAAATTTGCTTTCCTTTTGGTAGTTCAACAACTTACCAAGTGTGATTTTTTTAGAGCATTTATCTCTTTTCTCGTGACACCCTTCAAATTCTTATTTTCAAGTGCCTTAAATAAAGTTTATGATGTTGGAATGGAACTAGAGTTCATATTTGTCAAGAAGGCCTTATATGCAAGGGAAAAAATGTGCAAGGATGTGTATTAGGAGATGGAAAGCAAAGGGATAATGATAGTTGACATTGTTACCTGATAACAGTTTTAAGATGATAATATCTGTATTTTTTTTATTGAGGGAATACCCAATAATGGCACGCATTTGAGGGCTCTAAAATCCAATTTACACCTATATTATTTGTAGATAGGGATCTATGCAATGCATCCAAATATTTTTGGAGGGATGTTTAATTAGAAATTATTTGAGAAAAAAATTCTTCCAAATAGCTTAAAGAACCTTTGAAGCAAATCACCCAGGGTATTCTATTGATTAGGTAAGTGGCAGTTCGATCAGCTTCTCCTCAATATATTATTGATACTTGAATCTAAAGAAGAACTGCCCTCGTGACTTCCAAAAGTGACAATATTGTCTTTTTACCATCCTATTTTGTTGGGAATATCAAAGCATGAGGATTAGTGAATGACACCCTATGAAAAAAGAAGATAATGTGTGATTGAACTAATCATGAATTTTATCTCTCTGAAATATTTTGATTTTAGTATGGAATTATTTTTTTATCATGGCAATAAAAGTGAGAGGATAATGCTAATATTTGATGAGACTAATACATATCATTCAAGCATAATCCTTAATAAAAATGACAAATCCAATAACTACAGAAATAGTGAGGATTTTGAAGGATCCCTAGATATCATAATAAACCAAAAAAAAAGGAGTGATGGATCTAAAACCACTTTTGAGAAAAATAACATAATGATATTTTACAATTTCATAGGTCTAATAATGAAAGAATTTTATGTTTGTTTTCATAAAAAGAAATGACCCGTATATCATAGATTTTTAAAAGAGAAATGCCCTGACTTGTAATGATGCTCTCAAATGGTTTCCATATTGTGGGTGGAAATGAAGAAACATGACAAGCAATTTCTATGGATTGTTGTGGAGTTCCCATTACTTTATTTTAACGTATCCTTGCTTTTTGTAGTAGTTACACCAAAGATTGCATTTGAAAGAAAATTTTTGTTCTTTGGGATAAGAGTTTATAGCAGCAAATCCCTTAACTTGGGATTCAGTGGTAGTTATGATAGATGTTTTGGAGACCATAGTGTTGAGCATTATCATCCTTTTATCCTTCTTTAACTTGTACAAGATAAAAACCCTCATTTAAGGATGGTAGATATTCTTCTCTTAAGATTTTAATGCAAACTTGATCAAAGCCATCATGAAGTCTTATTGAAAACCCAAACATCATATATCTTTCTACTCCTAAGATTTACCACATCATCGTAGCATATGATCTTGAGATTTTGGTAGTGATCTAATTCAACTCAAAAAGCTTTCATTGCATTAAAGTATTTAATAACAGGAAAATTAACTTGTTTAGTTGTTGAGATCTTAATTTAATATCGTACAAGTAGGAAGCTTCCTTCACTTTTAAGTATATTAATTTGACGACATCTCAAACATATTTTGCAGTAGATAATAGCATATACTACCTACTAATTTTGGGCATTGTGATATTCTAAAGCCATATCATGATTATGGAACCAGCTTCATCCAAAAGCGTAAACTTTGAGTCATTTGATCTAAAAAGAGGATCAACAACGTGATGAATCTTCCCCTGTACTTCAAAAAAGTCATCACAATTTGGTACAATGAAAGATAATTTCTTCTACTCATGTGATATGAGGCATGTAGCCCCAAGTGTTCTCCCATAATCTGATTTTTATCATTCATGATGGTTGACTAGAAAGAAAGTCAAAAGAATCTAGACATAAGACAGACTTGGAGTGGGCGAATAAGAAGAGGCATGGGAATGGATCCCAAGATCAATATAAATATTGCATACAACTAAATATTGCGTACAACTAAATAAACATTGTGCAAAAATTAAAAGCATTAACTTGGGAAGGAAAATATTGTGTACAACTAAGTTCAACGTAAAATTGAGAAGAAAGGACAATTATTCACATGACCTAAATCAGTATTTGTAAACAATATTTGATTTTGTAATTGTTAATACTTATATTAAAAAAAAAAGAATAGCACTTAGTTACATTTATGGTGTAACTACATGATCAAATATAGAATACTTTTTATGATGAAAGAAAAATATTTTTACAAATATCATAACAGAGTATTCAAAGAAAATTAATATCAGAGAATATGAATGTAAATTTTAAAAATAAGAAGTTGATAATCTTTAAAATAAGTTGTTAAGAGGAACTAATTGGAATTTAAAGTTAAACCAAATATGATACAAGATAAAATAGCTGATTGCACTAAAAAAACTGTCATATAAGCACTAGAAAAGTCTAAAAATACCTTTGATGTAAGGAGGATTAGTGAAAGAGCAAGGAATACATTAAAAATAAAAAAGTGCATCTAAATCATGTCAAAAGATAAATTTCATCGAGACATACATTAGTTATAAGCTGGAAAATTAGAGTAGAAAACATTTAGCAAAGTCAAAGCAAAAAATTTTTATGAATTGCATAACAAATTAGGCGCAAAAGAAGAGTATATACTATCAAGGGGAGAGATAAGAGATGCAGAGAATTTATTAAGTTAAATGGCTGAAGGTGAAGGTAATGAGATATAATTTAAAATAAAGATATTAAGAAAAGATGAAATCATTATTTTGGGAAATTGGAAAATGAATGCTTGTAAGTCTTTGCACAATATGTCTATCAAATATTTTAAACCAAATCAAAAGTTTGCTTCAAGAGGGAATTTGAACCCTTTTGAAGATACTTCGAGCAACAAAAAAGTTTCAGGACAATCATTATTCTAATTTTAAAATAAAAGATAAGATTCAAATGTTCATCCTTGACAATTATTAGCTTTTATACACTCGATTTTTTTTTTTTTATTTAGCCAACCCCACTAATAGGAAATACTTGAGTTTGCAAGTAACCCTAAGGTTAATACTTGAGCTCACAAGCAAACCTATCACCAATGGGTGAAAAAACAGCGAGAATAATGCGAAATCTGGG